GCAGGAATGGTGTTACCAACTAGCACTGTCAGTACAAAAATGGGTTTTTCAAAAGCAAGGTGCAGCCTAACTCTGCTTTCAGCCTGGCAAACAGAACATAGCTATGCTGAGAGAATTTGAAAACACCTTTCTAGGTTTCCATCCAGCTACAGGAAAAGGTCAACAAATCACAAATTTGGTGCAGCTTGGCCACATAGGCTATTGTCAGAATGCGAACAAAACTATAGCTATGCACTTGGCTTTTTCTCCTCATTAAATGCACTCTGGATGGGACTTGATCAAACATGTTTGTAAATGTTTTGTATGTCTTTGATTCCTTAAAATGTATCTCTAATATTGGCTCTGTGTTCATGCCTTGAACAGCAGTGGAGCTAGTGACTCAGCTGGATGCAAAGCTGACCTGGGTATCACTGAGTGTCAGCTGACCTCAACCCTATTTTTTTCCCCATGACCTTCTTGACTAGTATCAGTCTATTGTGTGTCCTTGGATGACTAGTAATATACAGATTGTATTGTTGAAATAATAACTTCTTCTCTTGCCCTTCTCTTTCCTTTGGGTAGAATACGATTCTGATCTAGAAGAAGACATAAAATCGGAAACAAGTGGCTACTTTGAGAAGATTCTCGTTTGCCTTCTTCAGGTAATGGTAGAGAGAAGAGATGAGAGTATAAAGTTCTGTACATTTTTCTCTTCCTTTTTGAAGACGACATGCAATAGAAGAGGCAATTCAGTCATGGTCACCAGACAGACTGTGGAGACAACCATGTCACTTGGACTGGATCTGTGTTTGAGCTTCAGTGTGATTGAAGCAGGGAACCCTTCCTCCCTCCTTCCCTTCCTCCCTTCCTCAGCAGCAGTAAGAGAGCTGGGAACTTACAGTCTGCTCTTCTACAGGGGGATGCATCACTTTATGTATTATATGTGTAAAACCATTGGATTCTACAAGGCTCTTAGAAAACAAAGTCCCTCAACTATGATTCACTAATCTTCCAGGGTCTGTGCCCTCAATGCTGGTTGCATTTGGATGCATTAATCCTATCACATATTCTGAATTTTCCTGCCTAGTAGCAGAATAACTTAGCAATTTTTCTACTGTGATTCACAGGACTGAATTCAGTGTCTTTCAGTGAGGAAGTTAGCACTTGTGCTGTCTGAAACATTATTGCTTGAGTACTCTGCAGAAATAGATAGCTGAGAAGGATAATTGATCTTTGCCCAGAATATACTTTGTGATCCTTATATATGGAAGTATATTCATCAGACAAAATGGTTACCTTTTCTTTTCTTCCTACAGGGTGAGAGGGACAACGCTACACTCTATGTGGACACAGCTCTAGCTCTCCAGGATGCAGAGGTACTCTCAAATGCCTGTGACTAGGGATATCTCTCATCTTACTGTGTCTTGAACTTCAAAGTGCTTCAGTGGGCAGCAAAGTCCTGGTCAGTGGAAGGTTGGAACCACAGTATTTTGGTGTGGGGTGATCTTCAAGCAGAAGCAATGTGGGGTTCTTCAATTTTGCTTGCACTGTTGAGACTTGCTATTCCAAAGAGGAGTGATGAGAGATGGGCTTGGGCTCAGCTGCTTTTGATATGTGAAAATTTATGGATATGGTGGAGTGGAACAGCAAAGAAAAGTCCTGGTCAGTGGAAGGTTGGAACCACAGTATTTTGGTGTGGGGTGATCTTCAAGCAGAAGCAATGTGGGGTTCTTCAATTTTGCTTGCACTGTTGAGACTTGCTATTCCAAAGAGGAGTGATGAGAGATGGGCTTGGGCTCAGCTGCTTTTGATATGTGAAAATTTATGGATATGGTGGAGTGGAACAGCAAAGAAAAAAGAAGAAACCTCAAGAGTGTTGTTGGTTGCTCCCGCTGCTGTTTTTTTTTTGGAAATAGTGGATGCTCCAATTTGGCTAGAAAACACAATCAAGTGTGTTCATAATCAACCATTCTATAGCAGTCTAGCTCACACAGTGGTTTAGGTTACTTCAAAACACTTTACCCTATCAGTGCCTTAAGCCAAGCTCCGTTCCTTTACCAGGTGCACACACAGAACATCTCTCTAACAATTGTGTGTTAAATTACAGACTCTCTATGCTGCTGGGGAGAAGATACGGGGCACTGATGAGATGCAGTTCATCACCATCTTGTGCTCAAGGAGTGCCACGCACTTGCTGAAAGGTATGGAGCAGAGCCCACACTCCCAAGCCTCTGCAGTTAGTCAAAAAGAAGAGGCAGGGCTATAGATGGGAGAGACAGGTGGGCAGAAATAAGTCCCTGAGTCTGCCTCCTAATCCTTGGTCACTCACAGACCAAAAGCTGCCAGTAGCTTACACGAAAACTTATGAAGACTTACTGCTGCTAAAAATCAAGTGACTTATCTAGATGTCCCTATACAGTGGTGATGATGGGATGGTATAGCTGGCTTTGTAAACCCAAGGGGAGGAGACAGTGAGTCATTCCCTTTCGAACCAGGTAGGAACATTCAATAGACAGACTTGTGGTCCCTTGGATGTGGGTTCCTCTGGAAAAAATCACTGAAAAAGTAGCTGGAGGACTGGAGAGTCATAGGGTGCACTCTGCATGTCTGCCCCAGGTTCTTCTGAGGGCATCAAAGCCTGCTTGGAGGGAAGACACTAACCCGGCTCCAGCTGAGGGAGCCCTCAGCTCCCCTCCACCCCATTCAGCAGAGACCTGGCCTTGTCATCTCAAGACTTTCAGTCAGAGCATTGGACTACTTCAACAGATTTTATTATGTCAGATGAATCTAAGCATATCATGTTCTTTGTAAATCAGCTGGACCTAAACTGATCAATTCAGCTGGTGATAAACGAGTTTTGCCTGTTTTCTAGACCCTGGAGGCCAGCTCCCCCTTGTGTTTCAAATTCAGTCTCCCAGCAACACTTGGAAAACAAACAAAAAGTGGTCTCTAGTCTTTGGCTGTGTCTGCCTTTAAGAACTGGATTTCAACTAATGGTTGTCGTGATGTAACCAGTCTTTGAGACCTACGCTATCACCAAGAAAGTATTTTCTTCTGTGCTATGGCAGCCTGTAACTGTTAGTCTTTAAAACTTGAGTGTAATTGTTGCAGCTGATTTTTATTTTTTTTTTTTTTCTTCATATGGAGAGTAGGCCGGAGTTGAGAAGGTTGAATGCATCTGTATATTTGGTGGTATTTGTGTTTCAAATTCAGTCTCCCAGCAACACTTGGAAAACAAACAAAAAGTGGTCTCTAGTCTTTGGCTGTGTCTGCCTTTAAGAACTGGATTTCAACTAATGGTTGTTGGGATGTAACCAGTCTTTGAGACCTACGCTATCACCAAGAAAGTATTTTCTTCTGTGCTATGGCAGCCTGTAACTGTTAGTCTTTAAAACTTGAGTGTAATTGTTGCAGATGATTTTTATTTTTGTTTTTTGTCATATGGAGAGTAGGCCCGAGCTGAGAAGGTTGTATGCATCTGTATATTCGGTGGTATTGCTTTTCCCCAAAGTATCTGAGTTTTAATGTTTAGGTATCTGATCTTGAATGCTGAACAAACTTCATTAAGGCACCCTTTGCACGGCATAGAAGTTTTCCTTCTTTGTCAGTCTGAAAGCAAGGAATCAAATCTGAGATCTGTAAATCTGAACCCCAGAGTATCCAGAGCATATAAGGTGAACAACAACTCTGTTACTGAGCTTTTGTTAACGTGGGAGTTCAAGTATCTTGGAATCTGCACCTGTTTTGCTCGTCTTTTCTGAGTTGTTTTTTAAAGTTATGGTTGAAACAATAAGTTTTCCCAAATTGTTATTTTCATTCAAAAGTCCAAGGGCCGTGAGTGCCATAGTCCTCATTTTAATTTTCTTTCTTTTGGCTCCTGAAGCTAGGGACATCAACACACACAAGACTAAATGACTGAGTCGTGCCTAACCCTTTGTTGTCTGCATCATTTCTATGGTTAAAGACAGAAAGGAAGAGTCAGATTTCCAAATGAATATGAGGTGACAGCGCTTGTATTTTCAGATTAGGGCAGGGAATTAAGACCTGTGGATGGGTTGGGGTTTTGTGAACATTGCCATTCATTTTTGAAGCTGTTTTCTGGGCTTGACTAAAGACTTCTGAACTTGGTGCAGATGTGGCCATTGCTTTAGCAGGATCTATGTTTTCATATCACCACATAAGCAACACCTGTACATACTGGACACAAAATACCTGAGCAGGTGCTTTGTAAAAATTGAAGCTCTCTGTGTTTCAGTGTTTGAAGAATACCAGAAACTGGCTGGTAAGAGCATAGAAGACTCTATCAAGAGTGAAACTCATGGTTCACTTGAGGATGCCATGCTGGCTATTGGTAAGAGTGGCCACGTTTCCCTTTCTTTCCTCTGAGTCCACTACCTTTTCCTCTGCAGCAGTTTACTGTTATGGGATGGATCTACTTTAATAAAGTATCTGGTAGGAAGTAAAGGGTACTTCTTAGGTAAGATTAACTTGGATCCTGGGGTCATACTGAGTTAATAGAAAGCATGTTGAATCTCTGTTACTTGCTGCCCTACACTGGAATTACTGTTGATTCTTACTGAGCCTTTTTGTGTGCCTAGTGAAATGCACCAGGAACGTGCATTGTTACTTTGCAGAGAAGCTGTACCATGCTTTAAAGGTAAGACTCTTCACTGTAACTTACTTGTTTTCATACTGGACTTAAATGGGTGGAAGCCAGGTTACAAGTTAAATTAGAAGAGCCAAGGTGTTAGTGAAATCCAGCAAGTTTAGTGCTATTGTTGCAAGTAATAGCAGAATCCCTTCAAACACTTTTGGCAGAAAAGTACCCATGCTTGAGATACCAAGGGAGTCTGGCTTTTCTGACTTAGGAGTCTGCAAGGAGCCCAGTCCCACCTTCTGGAATGTGGACAAAACTTCTGGAAGAGCCTTTTCTAAGAGTTTGATCATGGTGGAGTTTGTCTCTTAATGTTAACTTAAAGAACTGCACCGCAATATCTTCTTTTTAGGAATATTTTTTTTCAATAGCAGTATAAAATGAGAGAGTTCCAAATGGAGATAGATAAGGCAGCTACATATTGTGCCCCTGTAACTCCTAATTGATCTGTGACAGACATCAGCTTTCCCAGCTGTGTGGAAAGCTGAGATGACTGATTATTTTTATTATCAACATGATCTCAATTTTCCTGTGAGTGATTAAACAATATCGGTTGAACTCAAGTGTTGCATGGGTGAGGCTGTAGAAGGACAACATGTATACAGTGCCAACTTCCAACTCTGTGGCATGTTTGCTTTTGCCTTTGACATGTGCAAAGACTTATAGCACACTTCCATGGTGGGCTCATGGTATTGACAGTGGCCCCTGGGAGGAGGGTGGGGATCAGCTGTCCAGAAAGAGAAGCAGATGTGCTGCAAAACATGTGCCAAGCAGTGTTTGAAAGCTGACTCTTCCTGTCATGTGCCAGTTTGCAACAGCTTGTCCCTTGAACACCCACTAACATCACAGACTGACAGATCTGTTATTCCAGGGGGCTGGTACCTGTGATAAGACTCTTATAAGGGTGATCGTATCTCGAAGTGAAGTTGACTTAAATCTTATAAAGGCTGAATTCAAGAGTATCGCAGGAAAGTCTCTCTCCAGTATGATTTTGGTAAGCAGCATCTTGATATGATCCTTCTCAGCCATTACATACATTGCTAACCTGTCCTGCACTGTGGGATGCTTCCATGATTGTTTTTGGTAAAAATGTCTTTTCTGTGAAGATAATATCTCTCCTTCATTAGGCTGTTAACAATCGTCTCCGTGAGAGAAATATATGCCAAAAAGGTGAGTCAGATTTTATGTCCTGTAAGTGACCTGTACAAAGTCAAACACAAGGAGAAGCCACTCCAGGTTTTTGATGGCCCTAACTCTGTATACGTGCATTTCATGATATCCTAGATGAATCTAGGTTGATTTAATCTTCTCTGTTACACCTTATACTCACGCTGCTGTGCTATCTTCTTCTCTCTCTCTCTGCTGTCCTTGACTATCTTAAGCCAGTGCCATATAAGTCAAAACAGTGCTGATTTTGGTTTGTTTGTTTTCTTTTTGTTGTTGGTTGGGATTTTGTTTAGTTTGGGGGGGGGGGTTGGGGTTTTTTTAAGCTCATTTATCCCAGATGAAGTCCTGGTCTATACTGTGGTGAGATAAGTTTAGAAACAGAACCTTGTCAAAGCTTATTGTAGCTTTTGAGCTTTGAGTCCCAGCTCTGCCTGAATGACCCTTCCTATTAGGGCTGAAATGCTGGGGTTTACCATTTGTCCTAAGGACTCTGGGACATTCCTCTCCTCCAGTGCAAATGGCACAGAAGCCCTGTCCTTAGCAGTCCCCATGGGAAGTCTGGTTCTATAATGAAAGCCCTTTCTTCTAATTGACACTGTCAGTGTCTGTCATGTTGATTAATGATCAGTCTTCAAGGGTCTGTACATATTCATTCCTTCTGAGAAGTGGAACTGGCCTTACACCTGTTGTCAGAAAACATTCAAAGGGAGCAAATTTTTTATCTACTGATATTCTCTGTAGTGCTTCTCTGGACCAAAAGGACCATATTTGTGGCTTTTTAGAAATGTCACATGTCAGGGCTAAACTATACTGCCATTCCCCTTCCTGTAGGGGGGAGACACTGCACAAATATCCAAGGACATAAAATCTGAACACAGCCGGCTTGGTGGCTTTCATTGGTTCTGACTTTGTGCTGCTCTGCAGGATGGAGCCCTGATCAGTTACTCACCTGGATTCCAAAGAAAGGCATTGCACTTGATAAATGTTATTTCAGGTGGCAGCCACAAGCCTCATTTCTCCATACACTTTTGATGGTGTGTCAGCTGGCAGTAACTCTGCTGAAGTGTGTCTTGCTCTTTCCAAGGTCCTTTTCCTCTGTGGGCATATTCCACAGACTGACAAAGTCAGCACTCAGTGTATGCAGGGGAACTTGTACATTCACCTTTTAAATTTTTTTTTCCCCTGTCAGGATGACACCAGTGGCTATTACAAGACAGCCTTGCTGAATCTCTGTGGCAGTGACTGACAAAATCTAGGAGGAAGATGTTGAAATGGATACAGAAAGAACATTAACAGTGAACAAGGATCTGAAAATGTACACACAGAAAGTATTTCCATTGATCTGAGGAGAGAAAAAGAAGATCAAATTAATGGTCAAGATTTCCAAAGCTCTCTGAAGGATTTGAGCACTTGTTACACATTAAAAGCTATTAACTTCCCCAGTAGTTTCTCAAACACAAGGGGGAATGTTTCTTTTTTGTTTCTATTTTGTTCTGTGCAGTTTCCCTTCTCTCTTCCCTTCTCTTTTAACACACTGTGAAGGGTGGCACTTGGACATGAAATTAAAGGCTTTTTTAAACCCTCTGTGTTTCCTAATCCTGAACAACTCTATAAATCTTGGGCTGTCCTGAAGCCTTGCTAGGCTGAAACCTTCACTAGAACAAGCTGGGACAGCACTGGCCATTTGATGCTAGCAGGGTGGGTCTGGAAGGAGTCCCAGCTATTAATGAGGCATTACAGCATGAGTTAGAATGGAGAATTCAGTCTTAGGGGTGCTGGTTTAGCAGCCTTTTCTGTATAACTTCATTGAGGGCTACCCATGGAGCAGGGTATGGTAGAACCAAACTGGCTGTAAGCACCTCAAAGTTGAAAGCTGTGTGCTTGATTTCCTCCTTGCTTGTGTGTCTGTGAGGGGAGACTGGCAATTTCAGGGTGTGACATCAGTGTCAGACTGTGGGGAAATAAGAACTGGGGCAGATGATTTGGTTTGGGCAAATACTAGGTTATCCTGCTCTTGGGAGCAGACCTGTTTCTGCTCCTAGTTTCACACTAACTTCACAGAAGTTAGTGGACTCCCTTGAAAGTTCCTCCTCACTTCCATGGCTGCAGGACCTATCTCTTGCTGAGTGGGACCCCGGATTTGGACAGCAATAGAGAGAAAACAGGATTAAAAGCTTTGAGAAGCTTGTGTCTGCTTTGACAAATGATTCTCCACATTTGAAGCAACACATTTAAATGTGTAATTACCCAAAGCCATTGTGTTGAGAGAAGTAGCTTTTCTGATCAAGGGGGTGAATTTTCTGGCAAAGGGGCAGTTCCTTCCTTGCACTGCTGAAATGGGCAGGAATGAGTGCAGTAAGAGTGGTGAGTTCAAGAAGTCTTAAGGAGTCCAGGATGCAGATCTGGGGTCGGGATATCTGCATCCCTCAGGTGAACGTTAAGAGGAGGAGATTTCAATCTCTGATCCTTTAAGTGCTTGTGTTTTCAGCGGTATCCCAGTTTCTTGCCTGGCCTAAAATAAGTTTGAGATGCATCTCTAGGCTGAGCATCAAGGAAAGGTTCTTCACTCAGTGTTTGGGGATGTGAGCCAGCTCCAGGCATTAAAGGTCAGGGAATCAGATAGCCCTTCTCAGCGCCAGAGGACCCGCCTGGTTTTTCGGAGAGCCACTGTTCGTATTGATGCCGAGGATCAGCCTTCCCCTGGTTTTCCTTAGGGCAGGTTCGGGCGCTGTCTCCGGGCGGGGGCGCGGCAGCGGGGAGAGCCGTGCTGACACCGCCCTCTGGTGGGTGCCAGGCGCTGTGCAGCCCGGGCCGCACGACGGGGCCCAGGCGAGCGGGAGGCAA